CATCTTCACCAACCAATTCATTTGTAATTATCTTTAATTGTTGTGGAACCAACACATTTACAATCCGTGCAGCAATTAATAAGCCAAAACATATGAAAACTAAGCATTGTAGCCAAATATTTTTTTTAGGCCATAAAAAAGGTAAAAGTTTTTTCATTTTTTCAAAAAATCCTGTAAAAGCGCCCTTTTCAGGCTCCCTTTGTGGTTGATCTGTTTGGTTATCATTTTCATTAGATGAAAAGGTGCCATAGGATGTATTATCACCAAGAAGTCCTCGGGTTGATTCAAGATCTTCTCGGTCAGAAGAAGAACGAAGAATTTGAATCAATGAAGTGAAACATGCAATTACGAGAGCAATATAACGAGCTGAAATTATATATAAAAGAGCTTGATCATAATATGACACTTCAATTCCTAAAAAGATATTAAACAAAAATATGAACTCTTAATAAGTTAAATTCAGTATGAAAAATATACAGTTATTGAAAATATACCGGGTTTTTTAGATTTAAATTGAATGATCCAATAATAAAAAATCAATGATTCGGTAAAAAGAGACAAAATATAAAAGGAATAGTTGACTGATGACCATTTTCCTAATTTTTTTACTTCATAAAGCATCAACAATAAATTTAAAACCCAAGCTGTCCATGATCCAACATCATAAAAGACAATATAACTTGAAGTCCAGACTTTAGATTCTAATGCTCTAAAAATGATAATAGCACAATCTGCAAGGTAAGATAACACTATAAAACCACTTATTCCATAAATTATTCGAGATAAAGGTGATAAACGATGCCTATCTGCTAACGGAATATAATCTCGTTTTCGAAGTATAACTAATCTATAGGTACCAAATAATAAGATAAACGATAGTAAAGATATTGGGACTATTAAAAATAAGGGGTATAACGAAAACCACGTAGTTTCGGAAGGTGAAGAAATCATAACTTTTCCTGGAGATTCAGATGTAAATGACACGCGTAAATTCGTCATTCTATTTTGATTTATTTATTTTTTTTCAAAAAAAAAAGGTTTTTGTAATTCTGACACCAACCATTGTCTTTGATCTATTAATGTTATTTATTACGTTACATCACTATTATTTGTGCTACTGAGAAATCTACGATCTGAAGGATCAGCTGATGTCTGGTCATCTAATCCCATCTTGGGTAATTGTTTTATGTAATCTAATCTACTAGATCGCTATTAATTTATAATGTTCTAGTTTACATAAGTTTATATATAAAGTTGCATAAAATTATATAGATTATAGGTTTTACATAAGATTATGCTTATAAATTGCAAAATTATACTTAAAATAAAGGTTATATAAATTACAGATATAAGTTTATAAAATAATGTACAGTGGGTGATCAAAAGTATCCGACACCTCGAAAGTCATGTGACTGATCAGCAAATATCGGCTCTAATAAAAAATTTTTTCTTATTAATTAATTCAACTTTGGTGCTTTAAGTAAAGTTATGTATCATAATGAATAACATTTATTCCAAAATTTTTTATATAGATCTGACTTATATTTAGTTAATATTTTAGAACTTCTCCAAAAATTTGATGGTTTTAATGCAAACTTTCAGTTATAATTAAGTTTCAAATTTTTTGGTCCTAATGTATAATGTGGATTAAGTAAACTTGTTCATAATATTAAAAAAAGTTCATCATTAAAATTTCAGGTCAATTAAATTTATGCTTGATGCAAACTTATTCAAAATGTTCATTTATTTTATAAATAAAATTTTTCTTTATTAATTCTGTATAAAAATCAGGATTGTAGCTAAAAATCAAGGAATTTTTACAAAAAGCTGACTGGTATTTGAAAATTTTAATACTTATAGAATATTTTAATATAAATTTTATAGTAAATTATTATATATATTATTGAAAAATAATTATTTAAAATTTTTGTATGAAATTTATGTGAAATAAAATTATAAATTTTTATTTAAATTAATATGATACACTATATATAAATTTGACATTTCTGAAAAATTCACAAGTATTCATTTTTGATACAAAATGTTTATTTAAATAAATTAGTATATTAAAACTAAAAAATTTAAAGCTTAATTATAGCTAAAAGTTTGTATTAAAACCACTAAATTTTTAGATAAGTTATAAAATATTTAACTAAATATAAGTCAGATCTATATAAAAAATTTTAGAATAAATGTTATTCATTATAGTGCATAACTTTATTTAAAGTACAAAGTTGAATTAATTAATAAGAAAAAATTTTTTATTAGAGCTGATATTTGCTGATCAGTCACATAATTTATAAGGTATCAGATACTTTTGATCACCCACTGTAAGTTCTATAACTTATATTTAAAAAAGTTTCTAAATAAAATTATTTATTTATATTAGGATACTTAAACTCATTAAATAGTTATATTATTGATTTGTTATTAAAATCCAAATTTTAAATATGCAATAGATTTTAAAATCTTTTTATAAAAAAAAATTATAAATAAATATAAATAATTATTATAAAATTTATAGAAATTTTTAAAATATTATATTTAATAAAAGTATCTTAAAATTATTGGTTAAAATTTTAAATAAATATTATTTTTATATTTAAATATTAATTTAAAATTAAATATTTTATAAAAAATTTTAAAAAAAATTAATAATTTTTATTTAATAAATATTTAATAATATTTATCTTATACTAATTAAAAAAATAAAATTAGTTAAATTTAAAAAGCATTATAATAAATATATTACAAATAAATCAGTAACAAAAAATCTAAAATTTTATATATATTAAAAATATTATTTTAAAACTGTAATAAATTTAAATATTATATAAAATTACAAGAACTTTTATATAATCCTTTATATAATAAAAAATTAAACTTAATAAATCTTATTGTATTCATAACTTAAATAGTTTTTCAAAAAAAGTATTTTATATAATTTTATAACTATAAAATAATTAATTTTAAAAAATTTTATAAAAATTCATAATAAATTAAATGTAATAATAGTAAATGAATTATTATATATCAGTATGCTTATTTAGATTTGACAAATAAAAAGTATCATAATTATATTTTTTAATTCTTCATAATATGATAATAACTAACAACTAAATAGTTGTATATAAATTATTTTCAGAAAATTTTCAAAGAAAAAATTATTTATAATATATTTTAAATAATAATCAAAATAGAAGTTGAAATTGTCTAAAAATTCTTTAACTAGTTAATAACTGGTTAAAATATTTTTAATTATTAATTAACTAGTTAAAATTAACTTTAGCCAATACTATAAATTTGGCTAGAGTTATATAATATTTTGCAATCATAAAAATCTTAATTTTGATCAGAAATTAAATTTCAGTCAGATTTAAATTCATCTATTTTAATCAGTTAAAAAAATCTTTAACTAATTAACATGTTAACTGCTTAATTAACTAGTTAAAAATTAATCAATTCTAACCTTTAAATCAAAATATAAATCTAAAAGATATTTATTTATTCAAATATATTAATTATTTATTTCATTATGTTTTAAAATAATATATAAATGCTACTTTTAAATTATAAATGTTTTATCAAAATCTTTTCAAAATAATTTTATCATACTCTTTTTTATATTTTTAATATAATTTGATAGTTAGCTTTATTATATTAGAAGAGTTTTGTTATATTTCTTATTATAATTTTAATATAATTTCATTTTGAGTTTAAATTATTAATTAGAGATTTCTTTTTATTTATATTTTAAATATATTCTTTTTAAAACAGAATTTATTAAAATACTTAAAAATTAAAATCTAAAAAAAATTATCTAGTATATTTGCTATTAAATAAGACTTTAAGAATTTTGATATATTTAATAATATAATTAAAAGAATTTAATATTACAAAAAAATATAAACTAAAGCTAATATAGTGAACATTTATACTAATTCTTTAGCTAATCTCTAAAAATTCTTATATATATGAAATATTTAAGTATATATTAATTAGTATAAATTTATCTTTAATTAGGTAAATTATTACTATTATAAATTATAAATAATATATTGATACAATAAATAAGCTATCTCATATTTTTAGATATTTTGCAATAAATATTAAAATATTATTTAATTTGCAAAGGTTGCTAATAAATTTCAATGAAAGGACTAGTAGTTCTTATGATAGACTATATAAAATTAAGATTAGAAATAGTATATTTATAAAAGTTTAGCAGTATAATAAGTTTTATTTTATCAGCTAATTAAATAAAATAAAAATATATATTGATATTTACCAAATAATAAAAAAAATCAAAAACAAGAAATTATTATTATTCAATTTCTAGTTTTTTTGCTTGAGATTTATTTTTATTATTATTTAATAAGTTAAATTTATTAAATAGATTAGTTTAAATTAGGTTAATAAAATTACTTGAACTAAAAGAATTAAACATAAATCTAACTTGATTTTAATTTTCATTTGATCTGATTTGATCTGATTAAATTATTTAAGTAGAATAATAATAAATCATTTTAATTGAATAATAAAAATATCATTATTAAAGAATAATAAAATATTATTTAAGAATAATAAAAATATCATCATTAAATAATAAAAATATCATTCACAAAAGATAAAAATATTATTTAAGAATGATAAAATATTGTTTAAAAATAATTAATTGACCTAAATTTTTTTAGATTAGATTAGGTCAAGTCAATCTGTTAACCTGATCTAATATTAATCTGAAAATAAATTAATCTAACCTGATTTAGAGTTCTAATCAAAATTATTTACTATTATTAATATTTGATAAAATATTTTAAATACTAATATTTAAAATTCTATTAGTCATAATTATAGTATTACCTATTAAAAGTAATACAATAGTAGAAAAAATAAATAATAAATTACTTGAAATTATAAAAATAATAGCATATTTTAATACACTGCCCTATAATAAATTACTGGATTTTATAAATTTTATTTAGTATATATAGTAAAATTGAAGATCTTTAGGTTACATAAAAGTTTATAAGTTTTAATAAATGTTATCTGATTTTTTTTATTTGATAGTTGATCAATTATAATTTTTAAATATTAAAATTAAAAAGAAATTTTTTAGAACATAAAAAAATTTTCTTATATTAAAGTATAAGCAATAATTTTTTTATATATTTTTGCATTTTTATATATAAAATTATGTTATTTATTACTTTATAAATGAGTATTTTTTCAATATTTTATAAATAGAATATTTTTGAATTATATTTTTAAAAATTATAATTGATTAGTTATTAAATAAAAAAATTTAAAGTGAAATTTATTAAAAATTCATAAACTTTTATACAATCTGAAAATCTTCAATTTTATTATATATTATTAAGTAAAATTTATAAAATCTGATAATTTATTGTAGGGTAGTATATTAATTTCATAAGTTTTAAAGCAGATAATGTAATTATAAAATAAAAGTATATTAAATGATAATAGAATATTTTTCAGTAAACAGATTCTCAAATTTAAAAATTTTTATTATGAAATTAAATTTAAAATATTAATTTTTAAAAAATTGACTAATTATACATATACAAAATATAAAATATACTATAAAGACTGTTAGTAATCAAATATATTATAAAATATAATTACAGTCAACTCTTTCTATAACGAATTTTGATATAACGAATTTTACAATATAACGGATTTTCAGTGTCAGACAGATTTTTAAATATAAAAAAACCC